CACCACCCCAGGCTCTCTTGTCTGGCATGAGCCAGGAGCTGTCTGTCTTGTCACTGTATCTCTCAATAAAAGTCTCCCTGGCTCTCCTAAAAAAAAAAAAAATGATTAGAGATAATGATTAGAGATAATTAACATTTGTCAAACACTTGGCCAGTGACCTCTTAGGAGGCTAAGCTTCCATATTCTAGACTGAGACATGCCTGGATTTAAGCTTTGCTGTACTTTCTATTTGTTTTTTGTGACTTTAGGCAAAGTAACTAAAGACTTTGAGCCTCAGTTTCCTCATCTGGGAAATGGGAATAGTGTGAACTCACACAACAGGGCTTGACACAGTACTCTGCATTAAATCCTGTCAATTAAAAATTTTAAGTTGTTCCTCTAGTTAAACCCAAATCTGTCTCCCGGTGCCTCCACCCAACTCTTCCATATATATGGCCCTGGACTCCATAACTCCATAGCTCCACAGAGCAAACCCATGCTGTATTCTGTAGAGCAGCTCTTGGCAGACAGTAGGCCCCTTTCCTAGCACCTGACCCTGGTTCCGGTTCCCTCTCACATAGTTTGGGCCCTTTTCTGGACTGTTTGGCTCTAGGGATGGTGAAATTTTGCAGGAGGGGGACTCTGCTCAGGGGCCAGGCCTCCTGGGAGTCCTGGAGCACATGGAGAATCAGAGAAGCTTAGGTGAAACAGGCTGTAGAGAGCAACCATCCCAGGAGAGAATAGGTGACTCCTGTGCTCTGCTGGTGTAAGGCCGAGCCGACACCGAGGCTGCTAGCTGTGCCAGGCACAGGGCTGGGCATAACATGTCCCTCAGCTCATTCAGCTCTCACAGCTGGCTCAGTAGATGATTTTTCCTTATTTTCCATTTCAGGTGCACAGAGGTTAAATAACCTGTAGAGTGATACACAGCTATAACTGACAGGACTGGGATTTGAACCCAGGTCTCTGTGCCTACCTCTGGAACTAGAATAAAGGAATGGAATTTGAATTGAGATCTGTGCAGTTTTCTTCCAGGAATCATCTAGGTAAATATTTGTTAATTTCTTACCTAACAACAATCCTTTGCATTTACAGTATACTTTAATATTTTTTTCTGTGAGTATACACTTTTTTTTTGGAAGAACTAATATTTACTCATGGTATAAAATTCACAAGGTACAAAGGAATACTGGAAACAGTGTTCAGTTCTTTAAAAAGTTAAGCAAAATTACCATATGACCCAATAATTCTACTCCTCGATATGTACCCAAAAGAATTGAAAACACGTGTTCAAACAAAAACCTGTACACGAGTGTTCATAGCATTGCCTTTCACAGTAGCTGAAAGGTGGAGACAACCCAAATGTCCATCAACAACAAAATGTGGTATATCCATACAATAGGCTGTAAGAACCAGTGAAAACGATCAACACAGATGAACCTCAAAAACATGCTAAGTTAAAAAAGTCAGACACGAAAGATCAATATTGTGCAATTCCATTCATATGAAATATACAAAATCAGCCAATCTGTAGAGACAGAAGCAGATTAGTGGCTGCCAGGGGGTAAGGAAGGGGAGATGGGCAGTGAATGGTAATGGGTACAGGGGTGGGATGAAATTGTGGTGGAAATAGATTGAGGTGACGGCTGAACAACACCACATGTACTGAACTGCACTCTATAAAGTAGCTAAAATAATTCATTTCATGTTAAGTGAATTTTACCTCAATTTTATAAAAAGAATATTGAACATTTAATCTTTCCCCCAACCCCTGTCAACTGTTAAAAGTTCCAAAGATATCCTGGGCATTTATAAACATTTGTGTGTCTCGTTTTTCATATAAGTGGTAACATCCTGTGTACATTGTTCTGTACCTTGTTTACTTAGCAGAGATCTTGGAGATTATTCTATGATAGCACTTAGAGATTCGCTATTTCTTTTTAACATCTGTATACTGTTCCATTTTGTGAATGTGCCCTGGTTTATCTAGCCTGTTCCCTTTTGATGGACATTTAGATTGTTTCCAGTCTTTTGCTGTTTCAAACAAAGCTGCCCTGAATAGCCTTGTACCTGGGTCATTTCACACATGACTCCATCTGTGGGGAAATTCCTAGAAGTGGAATTGCTGGGTCAAAGAGCCTGTGCATTTTAATTTTTCCAGTTACAAAAATAATGCACACTCGCTATACAAATTTCAAACAACTCTGAAGCTTATAGGCTAAAAAAGGAAATAAACCCTCCCCACAACTCCAATCCCATGCCTCTCTCCTCTTCCTCCACCTCCCTTTTCTGGGCACTTCCTCCTTGGTCCCTAGCCTGCAGCTTTCAGAGCCTTCCCTGCCTGCCTCTTTCCAGGTCTCCCCTCCTCCAACTTCCCTGACTCTTCCTTTCCTCATCCCTCAGTAGAGACTTTCCCATCTGTCCCCAGGATCTGGGCTGGGACTGAGGCTCACAGTCAAATATAAGCTATTATCACCAAACCTACCAATGGCAAGTCCCTGGAAGTGCTTTCAAATTCATAGAATGTTCAGACCAAAAGGTTAGGGGCTTCTTATTCAAACTTTATGTTCTACCTTACATAGGAGGCAACTGAGGCCCAGAAAGTAAATGTGGCTCAGTGAATAGGTTTCTAGAGCCATGAAGAGAAGACACATTGCCTGACACCCTGTCCAGGAGCCATTTCATTCATTTAATAAACAGTTACAGACTTTACTGAATGCCTACTGCATCAGGTACTGTCCCAAGTACTGGCATCCAGCAGTCAGACAGAAACCTATGTTTTGTTCAGGGAGACAGAGAAAAAACAAGTATCAAACAAAATATTACATATGTAAGTAAGTGTCATGTAAGCATAAAGAGTGATTTGGGCCTGGGTAGAAGATGCCAGGGGCAGGACAGAAGAAGCAAGCTGGATTTGGTAGGAAATCTGACCCTCAAAGTGGTTAGAAAGGGAGGCTGGCACTGAGGAGAGCTCAGGGAAAAGACTGCCCAAGGTGGATGGCAGACAGTGACTGCCTTCTCAGAGGGGAGATGTTGGCAGGTGCTGTGTGAAGGAAGTTTGGGAGGGCCCGCTGCTCCCCCTTCTACCTCTCAGCAGTACTCTGGGGGGTCCACAATGGCATTAGCATGTGAAAGGCTCAGTAGAAGGTGGGTGGGGGAATTTAGCGCCATTTGGCACACTGCCCTCTGGCTGCTGTGGGCCTGGCGGCTTACTGAGGCTCACGTGTGGACTTCCTGGAAGAACATTCCAGACCAATAAACAGAGCTGAGCAGGTGTCAGAAAGATTGAGCCATCTGACAAAAGTTGAGTATACTTAAAAAAAAAAAGTTTTAAAGAAAACTGATTTCAATTAGAGGGATGGAGTGTGGTAGGGCAGGTGGGGTGGAACTTAATACAACCTGAGCCTTGTCCATCTCAAGTGGAACCCATCTCCCTGATCCATGACATGGGATATTTTTAG